AAAAAAAAACCCCTTTCCCCCCAAAAAAAAAAAAAAAAAAAAAAAAAAAAAGGCAGTTGCTCAATAGAAGACATGCTGAACTTCATTTCACCTTCCTCCTAGGGAGGCTGATAGCTCATCCAGCTAGTGTGTCTCCATAAACAGCCTTTCACTTTCCCCCTACATCACTTGGGAGTTTGCTCCACACCATTCTCATCTTGTTTTATGGTCACCACTGTTCCTTTCTCAGGCTCATGACTACTTGGAGCCCAGACTTCTTCCCGGCAAAACCACTGTGCTCTTCTCTCAGCCCATCTGCACCAGCTACAAGGGGTATTGCAATGCCTACAAGAGACTGGACACTGGCCAGAGGTAGCTGAAGAGAAAGATTATGGAAAAGGTCCAATGACATCATAATGCATCTTGCAGCTGCAAAGGGAGTGTTGTAGATACCAGTAGGCTTGTTTTGGTAAATGCTGGGAATCTTGGGGAAAAAAAAAATTCAGCTTAAGGAAAGAAAACAAACCGGACTTATTTTTGAGTGATTTCAAAAGTAATTTAATCCTTCCAATTTTGTAATTGGGTGGTGATGCAAGAGTTTGTGGCCTGGACCAAGGGGAGTTTGAGGAGAGAGAAGGGGCAGCCTGGGGATTAAGGCAGCAGACTGAGATGCACAGCATGCCTGAAGGTTTCCTGCATCTGGTAGGAGGTATCAGAAACTTTTATCCCAAGTGAAAGTTAAATACACCTAGGATATCAGTAGTGCTCACTGGATAAACAGCCATTTCAGGAAGGAGGAAGTAAAAACCTTCCCCCTCTGACAAGCAAAAAAAAAAAAAAGTTGTTTAACAGACCAAGGCCAAGAGCTCAAAACAGTTATGAGAACAGACTGAGGTATCATGCTGAGTAAGCTCAAAAAAAAAAACAAAAAACCACCAATCCCACAACCAACAAAAACCCCAAACACCAACCCCACCTGAGCATGAAAACACCTGCCAGCCAAACAAAAAGCAGTGGAGCAGCAACACAGTGAGGACTGCATTAAGATGAAAAGCCTGTGCACACCGCTGAAAATAAAGCTTTTGCACTGCTTTTGTTATTGGCAATAAATCTAGGAAGTGTCAGTGCAGCAGGAGTCACTGCTTGGATGAGAAAAGCAAAGCTTGAGACCTGGTGATGTTGCAAGGGGAGGGCTGGCTGGTCTCCATCCCACGCCTGCCTAACTGCGAGAAAGCCATAGCAAGAACTTTGCAGGGTGACCCAGATGAGGAGCGATGTCATGGAGCAATGATGACACCTACTTGCAAGAAAGGGAAGAGCCAGGCAGCTCCCGGCTCATCAGCACAGCCCAGGGACATGCCAGACCTTTCTTGCCAGCCTGGTGCCACCAGAGCCAGGGGAAGCAGAAGGTTTGTTGACACCAGTCAGGAGCTTGCCAAGGGCAGCTGGGCAGTCCAAACATACAGCTCTGGTAGACTCCATCCCTGGAGGTGTTCAAAAAAACGTGCAGATGTGGCACTTTGGAACATGGTTTAGTAGCCATGGTGGTGTTGGGTTGGTGGTTGGACTTGACGATCTTAGAATCTTTAAGGTTGCAAAAGATCTCTATGATTCTATGACTGAAAGGAAAGGCAGATCACTTTTATCAATGCTGAAGCCAAGCATCTGACACAGTAATTTTTCGCAGTGTGGCATAGGAGATCAGCCCAAGGGAGTAGGAGTCAGCAGAGGGGTGATGTGAAGCAGCTGTCTCTGGCAGAAGGCTTCAGGGCAGTTTCTTCAGGATTGGGGTCACAGGCCTTTTTTACTTTGTGTTTCATTACCGACCTGCACATGCAGCAGGATTATGTTAATGAGGTTACGAACAGGAGTGCTTCCAGCCAGGCAAGGGATCAAAATACATAGAAAAAACCTCGATGGTCATAGTAATAGAAGAGAGAAGTTCACCAGTTCCATCTCCCATGAGTTCAAAGCTCAAAACAGCAGAGAAGGAGTGCTACCTTCACCAACAAAAGCCTGAGGCTACAGAAAGGCAACAGAGATCTTTGAACTGCACCAGGTTTACCATTTGCCCCAAAAGGGATGTTTGGATATTGCTGCACAAAGTCTGGGCCAGATCATGCCTGGAGCCCCAGGAACAGCCCCAGTCCCCACACTCTAGGGACCCACACTGGGATAAATGCAGGAGGGCACAACCAAGCACCCATTTCTCATTAAATCCCAGTGTTCAGCACAAACTGCTGCCAGGAAAGGTCACCTGAAGCTCCCCTCAGGTACCAGCAGAGAGTGAAGTGGTCCATCAACCTCTTGCAACCGAGGGTCATTCCCTCCTTCAGCTGGCCAAAGCACTTGCCTGTCCATCACCACCACAGACAGCTTTGGTCTGACAACTGTCTACAGGTCATAAATAATCCATATAACGGCTCTCCACTTCCCAGCTCTCTTCCAGGCATTACACCACCAGAAGCTACACTTACCACCCCATCAGACAAGAGGAGTCTTTGGCCAATTAGTTATCTTGCAACTAAACAGCAGCAAACTTTAGGAGCCCAAATAAACCTTAGTCCTCTCAGGTATTCATTTAGGACTTAAAACTGGACAGCAAATAACACATGGAAAGTTTCACACTCTTTTTCTACTTTTTTAAACAAATAGCATTTTGCTGAAAGCAAATCCCAGTGGGTCCTTCCTCCGAGTGTACCAGCACTGACCACGGTTACACACCCCTACTGCATGCCCGCTCCATGAGCAGACTTTGGTTTAAGGCAGGTTGCACCAACGTGCATCCAACAGCCTCCACCCAAGCACACACCGCTCCAGGGGAGCGGGCTGGAGCCCCCGCACCAGCCCCTGACACTGAACCCATGCCACGTGCCAGCCCTGCTGCTCTCCTCCTGCTGCAGGTCCCATCTCACCCCAACCTGCACCAGGCTGTCCCTTTTCTTACCTCAAACTCCCCTTCGTCCAGGCCACAAGCCCCAAGAAACCACTGCCCAGCACACTGGTCTGACATGATGCTGCTGGAGGTGTCACTCCCACTGCTGTCATAGTTGTAGTATTTTCCTGGAAAAAAAAAGGCAGGTAACAGTTTAAAATTGATAGTTTAAGACCCCAGCTCACGTGTGCTGTCCCTACGCTCCTCCCCACAAGGCAGGAGCACGGCAGCTTTTTCCAGAATGCTCTTCTTCCTCTCCCAGACCTCCAAACCTTTTCTGTTCCCTACTTGGTACCTGCTTCTTTCCCTCCACTTGGAGAGCCAGCATCTCCCCTCCTTCCCAGCTCCCCAGCAAGGCTCCAAGACCCAAAGAGGAGCCATCCCCTTCCCAAGGGACACGTGGCTAGCCCAGTGTGGTTCCTGGTGAGCACCCACCGTTCCACAGCAGCCTCTCAAACGCCTCCTTGCCCTTGCTAAGGATATCCATGTATTTCTGCTGGATCTCAGTGTCCCCAAGCACCTCTGCCATCTTGCACATCATACAGACAGCTGCCAGCCACAGCCCGCCACAGTAGGCACTGGAAAGAGCGAAAGGAGATAGCGTTGGCAATACAGGACACCCCATGGTCTGTGCGGAGCTTCCACAACGGATAGAGATCACGATCTCAGCTCTGATCTACCTCTCCACACCACATCCTCCATCTCCAACCCCCACCTGCTCACCTGGGTCCATTTACCACCCACGCGTCATATGTCTGGTCAGCAAAGCCACCATTTTCAATGAGGCCATCATTATCCGTGTCAAACTTCAGCTCCGACTCCATCACAGCCTGCAGGAGAGGCAGGAGACAGTCACTCAGCCTCTGCATCATGGCAGCTTTCTGCCATGGCTGCTCCTCATGCTCTGCTTGGAGCATCCATCTGCTGGGGATGTCCCACAGCTCCCACAGGAAGTGGGGAGAGGGGATGCCCCATAATCTGATCTCCTCCCAGTACCTGGCAGACTGGCCACATGTCCTGCAAGTACAGCAAGTCATGTGTCAGGTAGTAGTCGCGGTACACCTGCAGCACAAACTTCAGGTTGAGGTCCTTCCAGTCAGCCGTGTCATGCATCAGGTAGGCATTGACACGTTGCCATGGCTCATCACCTAAGCAAGGACAGAGTGCATGCAGCAGGGCAGCAAGCAATGAATGTCCCCTCTCCTACCCAGGAGCAAGGTCCCAAGGGTGCTGCGATCAAACAGCATTAAATAACATCTCACACCCTGTGCGATCTCTAGAGAGAGCAGCCTTCCCACTACTGCTCAGCTTCCCTCCGTCTCCCATGTACAAGCTCCATGCAGCATGATCTTCGTTACCATCCCAAACCATCAAAGCTTTTCATTCCCAGAAAACAGTCTATTCATGCACTATACCTCTTTCCCACAGCTTAGGGGTTAACTACCCTGATAAAGTTGTGTGAGCAGCCCTGCACCCCCTCTGTTCCCCCAGCAGGCCCAGCCAGACCCCTCACCTGGGTCCCCAATGTCATGCGGCACCACATTCTTCAGCTTCACCTGGGCTGTCTGACCACACATCAAGTACTGCCGGGGCTGGACATCTTCATTCACTACTGTGACAGCTGGAGAGGACACAGAGCAAGAGACATTAGAAAGGCAGCAGGCACTGCAGCAGCAAACTCCAAGCACAGGCAGGGCCACCGGCACCAGCACGCCAGGTTGCCCTTTGGGGCTCTGGTTGCAAGATCATGGCCTCCTGCAAAGGGCTAAGGGGACACCAGGCTGCTCCCAGTCTCCCCTCAGCAGGGGACATGCAGCTGTCACCACTCCCTTAAGAAATGCGGTGGCAGCACCCAAGGCTGGGAGGGACCCCCAGTGGGCTCAGCCCTCCTGTAGCCCAGTAAAGGGCTGCGCTCCACCACTGGTCAGGCCGCCATCGAGCAGCCTCCAAGCCCACCTAAAGCATCACGGTCTGCAAATGGCTCCATGCTTCTCCTCTGCAAGGGGCACAGAGAGAGCTCATTAAGACCAGGGGCTCCACCAGGACAGGCAGAGCCAGCTGTGCACCCCCAGTGCAGCAAGAATGCATCCCTCAATGCTGGGCTGAGAGATGCTGAGAAGCAGCAACGTTGGGGGTTTGCAAGTCCTGGGCCCAGCAGAGGAGCTGGAGGGGAATACTGTCTCCACGGCACAGATTTCTATGGCAGACGCTGTCCTAAATCCTCCATCTCTTCCCTAGGTAAAGACATCAGCAGGCATCAAGTCAGGGTCTCCTGAGTGACTCACCAATGTCATACTGGAGGCTGATCTGCAGCTTGGGCCACAGCATGATGAGAGCGAAGGAGGCATAGAAGTGGACATCGTAGGTGTTGTACATCCGGTACTCCTGGCCTGGAAGGACCGGGGAGACGGTGAGGGATGGGAGACATGCCACAGGTAGGGGAAAGAAGGGGCAGGTCCTCCCTTCCACATGGCCCAGGAGAGTGGGCTCTTTCCCAGCACAGGCAGGGGCTCCCATTAGAAGTGTTTTTTATTCTCTACTTATAGCACCCAGGGATCTAGAGAAGACCTCATGCTGTATCCTATAAGGCTTGGTCCAGCAAGGGGTTTTGCTGGGAACAGCGCTGCTCCCTACCCATCAGGGTGTGAAAAGCATCCCCATAGCAAGTTAAAACCACCTGGTTACAGCAACAGGGAAGGGTTGAGTTGGGACCATCCATCACGTCCCTGCGAGTTACCTTCCAAATAAGCAAACCTTCCGTACTCCTGCAGGACAGGGAGGAGGTGGGAGAGGCCAGCCCCCGCCGGCCCCTGCAGGTCCTCAGCACGGCAGTCCGGGGGCAGCTCCACCCAGATGGTCCCCCCATCCGTCACAAAGTACAGCTCATTGAAGAGGGCCGACTTGTACCAGGAAGGCAGCTGGCTGTGGGCAAGAGGGAAACTCAACCACGGGGGCTGAGGTGGTGATGCTTCTGCTCTGACCAGCCCCAGGAGTCCACCAGGAAGGTGTTTCCATCTACCCTACCTGTTCTCCAGGATGGGCTTCTGCCACGCTTCGATCTTCTTCTCCCACTCCTTGTAGTGCGTCAGGGCATGATGCGACAGGGCAGAAGCAGCATCTCCTCCACTGCCAAAAAAACGGGTGTACCGCCTGCCAAGCGGGGGTTTGGTGAGTACACAGCAGGCTCAGGCTGGGAAGCCCACCTGACCACGGGAGAGGGGCTGGACTGTGGTGAACACCAGATTAATAAGACTGCTCGTGCAGGGGCACTGAGGAGCAGGGGTTGAGAAGAAAGTCCCCTCCGTGAGCTGGTAGGGACATGGGCACAGGGAGTGGGAGGGACAAGGCTCCCCAGGCAGCACTCAAGCCCAGAAACAGGGAGAATGGGACTTTGGGGACATGAGCCAAGCCCCACTGGAGACAACCCACCCACCTGAGGTGCAGCTTCTCCTTGGAGCCAAAGTAAACACGGGGCATGTCCCAAGCCAGGGCCAGCTCCAGTGTCCTGTGGCCCTGGGCAGGCACCCTGCAGCTGGCACACACCGCTGCTGCTGTCATCTCCCCCTTCTCCGTCAGGCTGCTTTTACCTGCCAGGACAAAAAAGAAAAAAAGTATTCACAAGTGACCAAGGAAGCCCTATGGGGGGGGGGTGTGTGTGTGTGTGTGACTGATGCTCCCATGCATCTCAAGGGGGATGAGACTATTTGAGTATGGCCCAGCCCCCTTGCAACCTGGAGGGTACGTCCTCAGAGTTTTAAGGGATGACATTACCGCACGTGAGTAACTGCTTTTTGCAAGCAGGAAAAAATACCTGCCATGGGCGGAGGGGGTTAAAAAAGTAAGTCATCAAAGCAGAGGAACAAATCAGGCAGGAAAAGCCACCAGGCACAAGTGGAAAGGACAGAGCACCACATGACATTGTAACTGCACTGCACTCAGACACACCGTGACTTTCTAGGGACAGTCATCGTTTCCAGCTTTTTTGCAGGGTGCTGAACTGTGCCCATGTTTAAGAAAAGCCCTGAGGTGACTGGATAATTATATGCTGGTTCTGACATGTGTACCAGGTAAACTCATTAAAGCAACAATTTTAACAGAAGCACAGATCTTGACTATGATAGTGCCTGGCATGCACGAAGGAAAACCACATCCCAATAGCCTGGAGATCTCTGAGTGCATGTAGGCAGGAAACTCAGTTTTCCAGAAATATTTATGTAAACGATTTATTTACATATTTTAAGCTTCAAGAAACCTTGCAAAGGCACAGTGCCAGCATTGTCCTTGTTCAAGAGCAAGCAGAGATATTAGGCAAATGGTCACATTTTATCACAGTAAGAGGTTACAGCAAGGGCTGGGAGACACCATCCTGCTTCAAGGCTTCTGTCAAGGGAGCGAGCACTCAACTGAGGATGACGCAGAAGCATCAAGGGAATATCAGAGACCTTCAGGGAACTGATAACATAACAAGAGGACAGCAAGTGATAGCAGCACCAATGTTTTGGGTTTGCATGGCCAGGTTTTGG